GCCGCGGCGGCCGGGGCCGGCGGCGTCACGGGCCGTTTGTGACAGCTCCGCAAAGCCGGCGGCGGGGTCATGGTGCGGACGGCCAGCGGGCACCGGGGGGAGCCGCTGTAATCTGGGTTCAAGGAGGCGAAGCGTGACCCGGGCGTGCGGCGGCGGGGGAGCCGCGTCCGCCGGGAGGAGCCGGGAGGAGCCGGGGCCGGGCGCCGCCGCTCCCGCCAGAGCCAGAAAACGGGCAGCGCCGGGGGGATGCGGGGGGGATGCGGGGGCACCGGCCCGCCCGGCGGATCGGGCTGCACGAAGCCCCGGAATTGTGTCGTTTGTCCTGAAATTTCGGGATTCCTTGTCAAACGGCAGCCTGCGGGAGGCTGAGGGAAGGGCTGCCCTTGCTCCGTGGCACCTCAAGGGAAGGCAGCGTTTGTGTTTGTAAAAATTTCTGATTTCCTCAGCCTCGGGATTTTATTATTTTTTTCCTTAGGATTTTCATTTCTTCGGTCTTACACTTTTGAGTACTGGTTTTCCTGGCTTTCATCAGCAATTTGAAATGAAGCATCATGTCAGGCAAGTAACACTGCCTTGTCCTGTAAAGAAAACCCTTTCTCCATGAATGATGGAGAAACATCACGGCACAAATTCTGAAAAAAGGATACTGGGGAAGTACTCTGTGAAAGAACATGAAAACATTTTCATTCATATTTTCTCTCTCTTTTAGCTAAACCTCCCAGTATACACAGATCAAGAGCCCAGTTCACTGATCCCTACTATCTTTCGAAAACCTGAGTGTTTCCTCTCAACCAGTGGCTCTTGCCCTGAGCTTCAGAGGCCACATGGAGACACCCCAAAATTAAACAGGTGTTTCTAGAGCTAGGGTTATTTCAAAATCAGGGCAGCCCTTACTTGCCTCCAGCAACGTGTCCCCAATTAACTCCAGCCTCAAACTGCTGCTCTTGCAGATGTGATTGTGCTGTGCCCACTGAAGAACCTCCTCTCTGAGACCTTCATCTCTGCCTGCTTCTTCAGAGCCTTCCTCTGACCCTTCCCTCCAGCTCACCATGTACCTAACTCCTACTTTTTAGCTAAATAAAACAAAGTCATGCTTTGGAGTTTATCAAACGGACAACACAAAGATCCTGGCTGTAATTTGCAGGATTCATTTAATCCAAATCATTCCACAGACATTTACATAGAAAAAAATTAGCCAGTAATTAAATACAAGGAATCAATCAGAGGCTGATTTGAAGGAAAAGTGATTGAAACACAGCATGCGGAAAATATTAAAACTGTAAAGGCTGAACTGTCAATAGTCTCAGGAGGACAAAGACCAGTGTTCAAACAGTATTTGAAGTTAACGAATATCAAAATTGGTATTTTACATATCAAAGGGTATCACATTTTTGCTGACAAGTACTAACTGAAGTTCAGGAGTCTCAACATTAGTGGGAGAAGCATAAAGAAGGAAAGTTGTTTCTACAGGCCTTTTATGAATTTAACAACACTGTCCAACCCCCTTTTCCCAGCTGAAAATCTGAAGCCGTAATAATCAAATAAGCTTATGACTCCATGGAATCCGTCCTCGAGGTGGTACCAGGTCACTGGAACACCGTTGTCCTCCAATCTCTTCTTGTAAAGCAAGCCATCGTCCCTCAGCACGTCGTACTCACACGTCAGGATGAAAGACTCTGGCAGCTGGTGAACAACAGCATCTTCAGCCAACAGCGGGCAGAGGTTGGGCTCACAGAACCTTTTCACTGTCTCATAAACTTCAGCCTTGAATTCATGGGGCTTGTGTGGTTTGTAGCCCCTGACCTTAAATTTTTCGGGGATGTTATCTGGGCTCACCCACTTCCTGTACTTCAGCCTCATATCTGGAGGGATATGAGAGCCCTCCAAGACCTCTTCCACATTAGATGCATCCCCGTTTAGGTACTGCAAAGCAAAGAAAGCGGCACGTTCTCGGAATAAGAGAGGAACTCCTCGATTCTGCTGATAGGATGGTAAATTGAAGTCCAGTACCTGAAGGCCTGGGTAGATCAAGATCTGAGCACGCAGTTTGGGGAGGTCTGATCTACCTGCAAGGGTCTGGCTAACAGCAGCTGCTAGATTGCCCCCAGCACTGTCCCCACAGGTAATTATACGGGCAGGATCCACTCCGTAGTACTCTGCATTGTTCATAAAGTGTATGGTAGCATTAAGACAGTCTTCATAGGCAGCAGGATATTTGTGTTCAGGAGCTAAACGATACCTAGGACACAGAAAGAGACAACAGGAGTAGGAGAAGGAAATGTTGTAACTGTAAATACCTTATAAGTACCTTGGCTTCCCCTGTCTTTGGAGTATTTTTCCTTCAGCAAAAAACCCCAGTGTCGTTATCTGCTAAAGAGGTATTTGTCCAGTGAGTTATCACAGATTAATGATAGCCAGTAGGATGAAGTTGGAAGGATGTAGCACAGTTGGGGTTTTCTTCTGAGAACAGCTCTGATCAGAACTTGGGGGATACAAGTTCATTTTGCTCTTCTGGTGTAGACTGCACCTGGCTTGTGGATGAAGCAACTTAATCTGTCTCACCTGATTTTGATCAGTCTCACCTTTACTTAGGATATTTTCTCTTGAGAATTATTTTCGGTTATTTTTTTTTGTAAGTAACTGGGACACATATTTTTCTGTATTATTAGTATTAAAGTATATTAGCATTTTATTCTTACTGTTAGAAACGTAAGACATAAGAAATGTAAGAAAACTCTTCTGGAAAGCATTCCTCCTTTTTGTGTCATGCCAGCATAGCTCTGTGTTGTGAGGTAATACATGAAACTGACTTTGGGGTCTGTTTTCACTCTCCCTAAATTAATAGATCGGAGGGGGAGAAATGAAAATAGTCCCCTTGAAATTCTGTCTGTGGGACCCGGGGGAAATGGTTTACTGAGGAGGAGTGTTCCCTTCAGGTGTGTAACTCTGCGGTGCCGCGGACTGAAAAGCAAAGAGACTGCCTTTGGGTAAACACTGACATAACTCACCCCACAGACACAACCACCAACCCGCTTTCTCTGGCAATGTAACGGCAGATCGTTTCGTAGGAATCTGCAAAAAAGTCGAGGGGTTCTCAGCTGCCCGCTCTGCTCCGTTTCTATATCAAATGCGCAGGGGAGGTGGCAGCCCCCTTTTCCCGCCCTGGCCGTGCCCTTCCCGGCCCTCACGCGCCCCCTCCCCTCCCCTCACGCATCCCTCTTCCCCTCAGCGGCCGCCTCCCCTCAGGGCACCGCCTCACCGCCAGCTGGCCGAAAATGAGCGAAAAGCTCAGCCAGATTTTAGACTTTCCACCAGGTTTCGGGGCAGAATTATTCTCCCACACACACCCCGCACTCCCCGGCCTCCAGAAGGTAAAAGCGGGGGGAGGAAGGGCCCGTCCCGCCCTACCGATGCTGCAGTACACCCAGCCGCCGCCGTGGAAGAAGATGGCGCCCGGCCTCAGGCCGGCAGATGGTCCGCAGGGACGGTAGACCCTCACCGGCACCCGGCCGAACCGCGCGTCTCCCTGCCAGAGCCGCGGGTCCGGCTTCGGCTTCCTCCCGGAGCGCACGTAGCGAGTGAAGGCCAGCTTGCTGCACACCCCCATCTTTTCCAAAATCGTCCCCTGTTGGAAGAGAGGGAGGAGAGCGCGCCTGAGGGGCAGGGCGGCCGCCGCCGGGGAGGCTGCCTCACGCCACGCCGGGCAGGTTGCCGTGAGGGAGACCCACCGCCTGCCGCCCCCTCGGCCCCTGCCAGGCCTGAGGGGACACCCGGGCTTCGTGTTGGCGGGGTTCAGCCCGCTCCGGAGCCGCTGGCCTCTGCCCTCGCCTTTAGCGGTCGCTCCGCTTTGGTCCTCACCAGAAAGCTGGCACAGGAGAAGATGGAGCCGTGGCGGTCCCCTGTGAGGCTACGCGCCTGGGCGAGCGGGGTTGCTTTGGCACCGTGCGCCTGAGCAGGTAGGCCCATGCGTTCAACTCACGATCTGTCAGGCAAAATGCGTTAGGGGAGGCAAAAAGGTGTCCTTTGGTTTCATACCGGCTTCCCAGATGTCATTCTTCTAAGGTTTCCCGTGAGTTTTTGGTTTTTATCTGCTTAAGCGGCACCTGGCCTTCCATCAGTATTACTGGAAAGCCCCAAGAATGGCCTAAAAACATCATCTGTGCTTAGCTAAAATGGAAATCAAAGCAGTCTCACTTTTTATAAATAATTAATTTAAACTTAATTAGGGAAGCTCGGCTGATAAAGCTTGTACTCCTGTGGTTGGCTTCATCCCTAGGTAATAGGGAAAACCTGACTGAAATTATCTGAGGTCTAACAGAAACGCTTTTACAAAAACTGTCTTCTAAAGACAGCCCCAAAAAAAGGAAAGCCTTCATTTAAGTCTTAATGCAGCCAGCAGAATTTTGGTATTTAGAAATATAGCCTTATGAAAATAACACCTAAACCATAGTCTGGCAGAAATCATGGCAGAGTAACTCACCACAGCAGATGCACTAATCAGGAGAGCAAGGACAATTCGAAGCTTTCCAGGATGATTCACTCCAGGAGGTATATTGACATTGGAGTACTCAGATTGAATTGTTCTCATAATTGCTAGTATGAATGAAGCAATAAAAATCACCAGAAGTATCACTGGCAGTATATAAAAAAATGCCATTTCTCTTAACCAAAGGTGAGGTGTCTTTACTCTAATCTTTGATCGAGCTTTCTCGGGTAACAGTAAACCACAGAGTGGTCCAAGTTAACAACAGATCTCTCGGGTGCCACACTTTAAAGTCTTGGAAACATTGTGCAAGGTGCCAGCAAGCATCACATTGGAGGTGAGTCAGAGAATGTGTTTTATTTCCTGTTTAGCTTCAGGTTAATTGTGGGATCAATACAAGGCCTGGTATTCTTGGATTGCGGATGATATGAATGACTGTTCAGAGATAACTAAGTACTGAATGAAGGTCTAGTCTATGACAGGTTGCTGTTTACAAACAAAGTCAACTAATGTGGCGGTTAAACTGTCTCTTGCCTCTGATCTGCAGCCGCAACATCTTGCTTCGTGTATTGTGGACATTCTCTAAGTAGTTTGAAAGATATGGTTTTAGCAAGGACGTTTAGAAAAGAAAATGGGAACTAACCTCAGGAGAAAAGAGTTAATTAACTTGTGCTCTACAGAAATAAATGCACCCATCTTATTTTATTGTTAAAGTGTTTAAGCATAGGAATGAATTTTTGAGCATACTCATATGTTGGATAATCATAGGAGAACACTTAGAGCATTTCCTCCATGGTGATTTAAACAAAGCTCTTAAATAGAATACCTCTGTTCGGGACAGTTGCAGTTTTGACTTCGTTTTTTTGAGTCTAAACCACCAGTTACCTAACCCAAGGAAATTTTCTGCAAGTTGGTGACTGGGAATGTTAGCTTCAGATGCTCTGTGTGCCATAAAGCACGGGCACCATGTTACAGCCTTCTAATACCAATATCTTTCTCCTTTGCCAAAACACACTTAATCTTCTAGGAGGAATGAAACCAAGATCATAATTGAATAAAGTGGGTCAGACCAGATGTAGATGTTTAAAATTTCACTGCATCTTTAATATTTACTGTGAGAATAGCAAGTGTCTAGTCCAGATAGATCATTCAAATAGGCAGGCTGCACATGGAATACTTCAAGCAGCACTAAAAGAAACTTTCATAACATCTTGAAATATCTTTTTCAGTGGTCACACTGGCCTGGTTGCTCACTAACAAACTGTCCTATCTAAACCTCTTATATCGAATTTAGAAGCATAAAAGACCACAGAAAATTGACAGTTCTTACAGAAGTAAAGAAAATTGTTTCTATAAGCTTTTTAGAAAGTTCACTATATTGTCAAGACCCCTTTTTCCAGATGAAAATGACAATAAGTCACTAAATGAATTTATGACTCCATGGAATCCATCCTCGAGGTGGTACCAGGTCACTGGAACACCGTTGTCCTCCAATCTCTTCTTGTAAAGCAAGCCATCGTCCCTCAGCACGTCGTACTCACACGTCAGGATGAAAGACTCTGGCAGCTGGTGAACAACAGCATCTTCAGCCAACAGCGGGCAGAGGTTGGGCTCACAGAGTCTTTTCACCGTCTCATAAACCTCAGTGGTGCAGTCAAGAAGTACGTGGGGTTTGTAGCCCCTGACCTTAAATTTTTCGGGGATGTTATCTGGGCTCACCCACTTCATATAATTTAATTTAATGTCTAAAGGAATATGGGAACCCTCCAAGACCTCTTCCACATTAGATGCATCCCCGTTTAGGTACTGTAACACATAGAAAGCGGCACGTTCTCGGAATAAGAGAGGGACTCCCTGATTCTGCTGATAGGATGGTAAATTGAAGTCCAGTGCCTGAAGGCCTGGGTAGATCAAGATCTGAGCACGCAGTTTGGGGAGGTCTGATCTACCTGCAAGGGTCTGGCTAACAGCAGCTGCTAGATTGCCCCCAGCACTGTCCCCACAGGTAATTATACGGGCAGGATCCACTCCGTAGTACTCTGCATTGTTCAAAAAGTGTATGGTAGCATTAAGACAGTCTTCATAGGCAGCAGGATATTTGTGTTCAGGAGCTAAACGATACCTGGAACACAGAAAGAGACAACAGGAGTAGGAAATATTAGTTTTAAACGTATTGCTGAAAATACTGGTTCCTGCAACCAGCAATACCTTGATTACCTCAGAATTTTCCCTTTCTCCACAGGTTGACCATAAATATACCACAGCTCACTTAACTTGTGCAGAGTAACTTGTTAAGATATCATCTGTTTAGGGCTTTTTTGAGGTCTTGAACAAGAGGAGTACTCAGCTGGCAACTATGTCTGGGTTTTATTGAGAGTTGTTTAGTCAGTTTATGCTGTGGCTTTCCATGTGTCAGATACACATGATAATACTTCTGGTTTATGTCTTTGTTAAAGTGCAACTACATACTCATAATCCAGATTGTTATGCTGATGGCGATACTGGCTTGTCATTCATGTAGTGCTTCTTTAAGCATCGAGCAGAATTTCCTTGAATAAGGATTAAGTAGAATATATGGCTTATATTCTGTTTACTATCGATTTTCAGTTTAGAATTGGAAAACATTGTTTGACAAGTCTCACAGAAATATTTCTCTGAGAATGGTTGTTGCTGTGATCAGGGAAGCTGTAGGGTGATATTTACACTGTAAGAAATAATATCTGAAAAACAACATGAGGACCAACTCACCCAACAGATACAACCACAGATTCACTTTCTCTGGCGATCCAGTGGCATAGCTTTTCATGGGTCTCTGAAAGAAACATATTTGGTGGGGTTTGGGTTTGCTTTGTTTTGTTTTCCAGAGTACTTAATGTCTATTGCATAAGTCAAAGAACTGCAAGAAGAAAATACTCTCTACTTTTCTCTGCCCTTTCGTACATAGCTTCTTGGATCTTTTGTACCCCCACATCTTACTATTTCAGTATTTGCTTACTGTATTTTTTCCCCTCATATCTCATTGTCCTTATCTTTAAGAAAAATGCACGTAATGCACAGCAGATTCTTTCTTCTGACGGCAAGACTTAGGAGAGTGCACCTGTGGTTACACTCAAACTTCATAACTGCTGCAGGTCAAACAACAATCAACTTTGTATTTATTTAACTAAATTATAATATTTTTTCTGTTAGATGTCTTACCAAGACTTCCAAATACCCATCCTCCTCCATGGAAAAACATAACTCCTCTCCTTTGGCTGGCAGATGGAACCTTAGGCTGATAAATCCTTACAGGCACTTTCTCAAACCACAGGTCCTTGATGAAGAGCTTCGGGTCCACTCCTGGAGTCTTTCTACCTTGCACGTACCGGAGAAAGCTAACCTGACTGCAGATGCCAATGTTTTCCAAAATCCTTCCCTGTTCCAAGGCAAAGAGAATAGGAAGTTCAGTCAAGAGATTTTGTATTTTCCAAAGTAAAGGAACTGTATGGGCAGTACACTTGTGATGCCTAAGTCAAGTTTTACGTTTGAGGGCAGTCATAAAATATTTGAGTGGTTGTACAGGTAACAGTAGCACCATGAGAGGTCACATGAACAACAGTGTTCACAAAGAATATAATCTCAAACCAATGCAGCATTAACAAAGACTTGTGCAATATATCCCTTTGCTTTCTCAGTGGGTCCTTTACTTAACATTGAAAAGGAGTTTGGTTTTTACTGGTTGTTCTGTCCTTGTCCCTGAGAAGATCAGAGAACATAGAGGAAGAGGATAGTTCTGGTGCCGATTTTCATGATATGGACACTTGCCCAAAGTTGGGTTGACTAAGTTGGGAATATATTTGATAATTGCTTCTTGATTTATCTCAGAAGTCTTCATTGATGTGTGGAATTAATGCACTGACAAGAAGATCCTGAGATATTTAATAGGCCTGAATTTCTGTTCTTTCTGTATGCTGTAGTGATATTCATGCCAGGCACCAGAAGATGAATACAAATGAGAGCTACGGGTCCAGCATATGTTTGCAAAAATAAAAAAAGGTATAACTTCTGTTTTTAAATACATTATTTAGTCACACCAAACAAGCACTTCAGTCCTTATGAAGATTTGGATTAGGCTCTTAATATTCACAATTTTGTTATGAATATTTCTCATTAAACTGCCACATTTATGTGGATTGTCAATACAGGGTTAGGACTCTCAATATATTTACCTATGAATGACCTTTTCATCAGTGACTCCAGCTATTTATGATCATAGAATGGTTTGGGTTGGAAGGGACCTTAAAGACTATGTAGTTCCCCCTGCCCTGGGCAGGGACACCTCCAACCAGAGCAGGTTACTCAAAGCCCCATCCCACCTGGCCTTGAACCCCTCCAGGGATGGCGCATTATTCTTTTGTATTTGCTATTTTCCAAGCAGAAATTGAACAACTACAAAGAATATTCTCACCTTTACAGTCAAATTATTTGGTTTCTTTCAACCTGTGTTGTTTACATTGCAGCATACGATTCTGGTTTATGGTACTAATGGGCAGTGTATAGACAATAAAAAGCCAACTGGCTTTTCCAGCTGCTTAATGGAAGTAATCTCTTTTTAATTACAACTTGTGTGCAGCCAAAGCATGAGAATATATGAGTTCTTTACTATGGTCCTCTGTAATCCAGTATATTTCTGCCAGAGAATTTTTTGTTTCATGTTAAATAGTTTGTCCCTCTTGAAGGTGTTTAAGTAATTTATTAAATTTATGCACAGCTTATGCTGTTGCATGTATTTCTAACACCTTCCATCATACAGCATCTATACATCTGTCATCACACGGAAATACTCCTGGTTCAGTGAGATCCTTTGTCAGTAGAGATCACCAGAAGTTGAGTACTGGTAAGAGCTTCCACTCTTGTACAGGCCAGGTCACCTGAAGAATTGGGGCTGGCCAGAACCCCTCATTCCTGTCAGACAAGCCCGTTTAGCTGCCGCAGGAGCTATATGTATGTGTTCAGGGGAGATGGAATTCCTTCACCTCCTCTTGGGCAACATTACCTAATTTTGTCACTTGTGTGACAAAAGCTCTCCCTTCCCAAACCCAATTCTGAAATGTTCACTTTCTGATTTTGTCTTCAAAATAAATAAGTAACTCCTCATCCCTAAGTCCAAGAAAAGCTTGAAAGCATGATCCAAAGACATTTGATACAATCTGAACCTAGAATGGGGACATAATTGATCCAACATGTATTAGCATCTTTAATCAAATTATTGCTAGGTTAGCACAATGCACTGTAGAAGCACAGTCAGACTTTCAAATGCTTGTTATCGGGCAGCGTTTAAGTACTGCCTAATAAAAGAGCTAGGCAAGACTGATAACACAGTATAGTGTAAAAAATCTGGTAAAGGTCTTTTTTTTTTTTAGCAAAACTGAGCTTCTAAATAAGCAGCATGATAGCTATGCCCTGCTCTCCTCGCCAAGAGTTAATTCCAGGCAGGATTCTAGCACTGCATTAAGTTTATAATGACAGGTTCACCCTTCTTCCCCCACCAATCGCGCCGAGTTAACTTACCACCACAGCTGTGCTTATTAAAATTATATGAATGATTCGGAGCTTTACAGGCTGATTCACTCCAGGAGGAATTTCTGAGTTGGAGAAATGAAAATTAATTGCAGCCATGACCAACAGTATAAATCCAGCAACAAAAACTGCGAAGAATAGCACCAGCACTGTGTAAGCAACTGCCATTTTGCTGAGCAGCAAGGTGATCTGAAATGTCTTTGAATTGACTTTCCCAGAAATATTTGTCTTGTTACTTCCTGATTCTTTGTTCCTCATAAGGTTGCTCTAGTAAAAACCTTTCTCTTTCCTTTTATAAAAACATTAGTAGGTATATTTCCCCCGTCCCCTCCTCCTGCTCCCTTTATTTCACAAAAGATAAGCTGGTCAAAGTCCTGAATTTATTAAAAGATCTACGCCAGCATCATTTCAGAATTTTTACAGAAAAGGTCTTTAGCTGGGAGAATAGTGTTATAAATAAGCTGCATTAATGTTAAATTAATTAGAGGTGGAAAATGGACACAGGGCATTTGTGTGCTTTGTGTTTGTGACACTATAAAGCACTGCTCAGAAGACAGGAGCTGGCATATGATGATTATCACTCTAAAGGGCCAAATGGATTGTCACCAATGGTTGTTTTTTTTTTGGAAAGGTGCACCTATAAAATTATGTCATTACCTCAATCTCAGTTTTTTAGTATTTGTGTTTTCTTCTAAAAGAAGAACATGGTTAAAAAACAACAGAGGAGGCTGAGTTTAGGTTTATGATCAAGTTACCTTGTATCAGGTAAACTTCAGTAACTCTGAGTGTGCAATGGGTAAGGCATAAAATGTTTTAATCAGCAATTAAAGAGTTTCAAATCACACTGATTTATATTGTTCTTGCTGTAGAGTGGGATTGTGCTGTAGTTTAAATGATGCTTGAGGTATTACTTGTGAATCCGAGTCTGCAACTCTTCAAACACGAGGATGCCAGAACATCGTTGAAATTGCAAATTCCCAGTGAAATGAAAGATGTAGAAATCTAACTTCATTAAGCAGCCATGTTATAATTACTTTGTTGTTGTTGTTGTTTTAGTTTAAATTACAAGATGGGGGGAAAGAACCGTATCATTTTAGTTAGAAAACTTTATAAAAAATGAAATGTCTTAATTTTTTCTAGTGAGAAGTTGAGTGTTTTTAATAGGGCAGGTGATCATCGTAAAATATTCTTAAGTAGAAGAATATATTTTGTTTAAAACAACGATTTTTATTTAAAAAAAATAAAAAAAAAATTAGCCCACTCAATAGTGTTTCTGGCCTTTCAGTTTATATTATGTTTCCACAGTTATGTGACCTTATACAATAGTCTTGGATGGTCCAGTTGTCCGGTAAATTAATTACTGTGCACAGCACAGGTTTGACAATTAGCAAGGCTGGGGGCTCTGTCTGCCAGGGTTGCATTGTTTCTGTCACCATGAGGCGTTCATTTGGATTTATCAGTGAGTATGTGCGTAGCAAACGTAACTTGCTCTTGTAACAGAAATATTTGAAGTGCTAGTTTTTATTTTTTTTGTTGTTGTTGAAAACATCACAAAATTGCCGCAGCATTACAGTGATAATATAACATTGTGCTTCCCTACTTTCTTACATCTGGGATCTTCAGAAATTTTTCAACAAATGTAGCATAACAGGTAGTCTTGAGCATAAAATAATCTGGAAAATACAAGATAAATCTGAAACAGGAGTACAAAAAGGAAAAGAAAGGAAAAGAAGTCTCACCTCTGCACTTCCCTAACAGGTACACACTCATTAAATTTTAGGGGTTCCAGTTTAAGAATCAAGTTTCCAAAACAAAACATCATTTGTCAGATTTCAAACAAAATCAAACCCATAGTAGCTCTAGTTTAGAACTTCTGCTTCAGACAGAAGCCTTTCTTTTGACTACACTTCTTCAAGAAAAGCGTAGTCTTTGTGCAAACTGGAAATTAAAATGCATCACTGTAATTTCACTGTGTGACATCAGACTTCACAGAATCTGAGTCATTTCACTCTCCATCTGATACCCTGAACATCTCCTGTCTCTCACTTCTTTGCCAAGTGTAAATTCACCAATGATAATGTAAGACTTGCATCTTTGTTCTGAAAAATACTTTTATAAACTGTTTATGTAATTCACAGTACTATCCATTATCTTCTTTCCAGATAAAAAGGAAAAAATCCCATAACCAAAAAAGGCTAAAATTCCGTGGAAACCACTCTCAGAATGATACCAGGTCACTCGAACACCATTGTCCTCTAATCGCTTCTTGTACAAGAGCCCATCATCCCTAAGCACATCAAACTCACACGTCACGATGTAGGATTCAGGGAGCTGGGAAATAATGGAATCTTCAGCTAAAAGTGGGGAAAACGTTAGTGCTAAGATTTCTTTTATTGCTTCATGGACTTCAGGCTTATATGAAGTGGATTTCTGTGGTACGTAGCCTCTAGTCTTGAATTCATCAGGAATAATGTCAGCACTTATCCATTTCTTATACTTCTGTTTCATACTCTCAGGAACGTGGCAGCTTTGTAGGACGTCTTCCAAAATTGATGGTTCTTTGTTAAGATAACGAAAACAGAAGTAGATAACTAGCTTCCGAAACAATATTGGAACTGAAGCGTTCTGCTGATAGGAAGGCAAATGAAAATCCAGCCCCTGTAGTCCTGGATAAAGTAAGATCTGAGCACGTACTTTTGGGAGATCTCTTCTATTCAGCAGGATTTGGCAAATAACCGTAGCAAAATTAGCTCCACAGCTGTCACCGCTAAGGATGATGAGAGCAGGATCCACATGATACTCTTCTAAATTCCTCATGAAGTACAAGGTGGCATTGAGACAATCAAAGTACTGCCCTGGGTATGCGTGTTCAGGAGCCAAACGGTAACTGAAACGTCAAAGATACTGTGGTTATTGTCAAAGTAATCACAAAAATTTATTTTGCATTGTTCATGTTTGGCCGATACGTAGTTATATAGGCTTTTTTTTCTAAATTTTAAAGGTTATTTTTCACTCGTGTAGATTGGAAAGGCAAACTAATGGTTTTACAGCTGTTTAGACTACTTTTCCTATAAGCCTATTTCTAAATTAAATGAAAGGCTAAAGTGAAAAATAGGGAGCACGATCTGAAGTAGTAAATATTTTCACAATATTTTTCAGAAATGTTTCAACTGGGAACAGTATTACCATAAATACCTCCATGTAAAAGTAGCACTTACCCAACAGACACAACCACCGAGTCGCATTTTTTGGCAATATAGCGGCATATTCTTTCAAAGGCTCCTAAAGAGAAAGTTTATCAGAAATGATGTTGTAAAAATCAGGTATCCTTTTGAAATGAAAAAAATAGATCCTTGAACACGTGCCTTGTGGAAGGCACTGCAACATGAGACGGATGAGTAACTTCCGCTATGCTATGTGGGCTCTACATGTAAACCTGTTTTCTGGTTATTGGTCAGTGGCTGTTTGGGCAAATATAAGCATGTAACGTTGGTAATATTAGGAAAAAATGAAAGTCTCTTCAGGCTGGTATCACATCTCAGCTGGTGGGCAACAAAAGCTGTCTAAGGAGAAGAATGAGCTGAGGAGAAGCCTACAGTAATAAGCAAACAAGAAGGTGAGGGTCAGGGTGCTCCTTTGAGACAGAAACTGTCTCTCTATATTTAATGCCACTAATTAATATCTCTTTTCTGAATTATTCAGACCACTTCTTGAACCTATGGTTTTAATATTAACAACTTTGTGCAGTGAAGAATTCTACAGCTTGTGTGTAAAGGTGTAAAGAATCATTTCTATTTGCTTGGTTTGTACCTGGCATTCACTACTTCCCTTTGGTGATGTTAACTCTTGTGCTGTAACAAATGGTGGATAATCATTCCCTGTTTAAATTCTCTTGCTTCTCATGCTATAGCTAGATGCACCATGGATTTATTGCAATGGCATAAAGAAGTTTCCTGTTTTGTCCTTTCCTTCTAATAATTCCTAGGATTTTATTTGCTTTTTGACTACTACTGTTCACTAAGTCAGCATTTTCAAGCAATTTTTTACCATAATCCCAAGATCATCTTCCTATAAGGGAGTAGTCTCTTAGAGTCTGTTGTTTTATTTATAAAGTTAGGATTCTCTGTTCATCCATTTGACTTCTCTCCATGCCATTCCACCTGTCATTTTATTGTCTAATCCTTTGCTATCATAAAGACATTCTGCCGTTTTTCAGGGAGGTGTGACTTCCATCTTTGTGGATTTTAAGGAGTGAGTCATTTATCTGACCACTGATTCTGTTCTTCATTGAAGCTTCTGCTCATTTGTTAGTTGCAACTTTAGGCTTACTACTATGTAGATTCCCCAAGTCCTTTAAAAACCTTGTCATTATATTAGTTGCTTTCCTGTTACCAAGTACCAACAGGAATTCAAATGGAAGGTCAGGTACTACAGTCAGTGTATAGGTATGGGTGTTGTATCTATGGTGTATCTATGGCATGTGATGTAGCTCCCTTAGTGTGCTAATTGTGCAACAGCAATTGTGTTGTGAACAACAACTACAACTGTGCAACTTTGTGGTGTGTTTTTTTTTCCTTCCAGCGAAAGGAATTGACCTTTCACTTAGATCACAGAGACTTATCTCCTGAGCCCTCAGTGCCACCCAAACTAGCCCTAGAGCCAGAAGCATCACAACTGGTGTCAGCCTGACACTGCACCAGGCTAACAATGTTCTGTGGTAAAACACAGGTAGATTATTTCTGCCACAGTGCAGAATGAGCCTAAGTTACTAGAAATTACATTATCATTTCTGCACGATGCTAAACGAAGCCAGGTAGGCTCTCAAACTCATTAGCAGATAACTGATATCTGCCTGACATAGTGCTAGTGGAGACTTGCCCTTTGAAATGGTGAAGGATTCAAAACCCACAGACTTCCCTGTCTGCCCCCTGAATGAAATCTAGATTTCCGTGTTAGGTGCCTTGGCTTCCAGACGAAGCACACACGGACTTGGTTGCTCGGAAGGAGATCCAGCACAGTTGGGAGGCTGAGCCAGCGGCTACTGAGACAATCAAAGGGTTGTCTCCCTTTCTCAAAAAGAAAGAAAGTATTCTGTGCAGTGTTACCACAAGAAAAACTCCCCCATTAGTTCTATTTTTAATGCTCACTTATTATTTATATCTTTGTTAA